ATGAGTTGGCCACTTTCTTGTTGAAAGTTCCTCTCTGCTTGAAAATCTTACTTGTTTTCTTTCCTTGTTTCTATAAAGGGCTATTGAGAAATCTGCTCCTTGGTGTCTCAAGTGAGGTTAAAATAGTTCTTGGATGTCGCCCTAGGCCCACAATTTCTAATATAATAAAAGGCATCAAAATTCCCCCCCCTTACCACCTCACTCTGCATACTTCTGAACTGTAACCATTCCCACAAGGGACCAAAAAGAACTCTGAGACCCAGAACTGCTTGATATTTGCAGCCTTGGCAGAAGGATGGAAGCCATACAACCCATCTGGGAAAACTCTGGCATATGGGAGGAAAGCAAGGGTGAGTGAGACCTGCCTGGTCTCTGACTCTCTATGCAATTTCTACCCTAATGTGACTGAGAAGAGAGGAGACAGCCCCCAGAGTGGCAGACCCGTGGACAACCCAACAGATGGGAAACTGAGGCTGCCCATCCGTCTTCTCTTCTTCTGTGTGCACTAGTCTCTCAGGCCTTTCAGTTCAGAGGAAGGACCACACTACCTGATAAGCATTTTCCAGGCTGCCTCCCCCAACATTAACCACATGCTTCCCTCGGGTCTCTACGTAAGCTTCACATGCTCTGAGAAGCTTCCTGACTAGGGTGGACTCTGTTCACCTGCACCCTCATGGGATCTCCTTGCTTTTCTCCCAGCATTTTTTTATCAGTTTGTGTAATTATATATTAAGTGCTGTGATAATATGATTAATATGCCTCTCTCATTATACTTAAACAGATATCATAGATATGGATTTATATTTCTTTCTTTTTAAAATTAAGGTAGAACACAGAAAATGAACAATTCATAAGACAGCAGCTCAGTGAATTACTAGTGAACACACCTGTGTGACCACCATCCAGGTCAAGAAATAGAACAGTCCCAGAATCCCAGAAGGCACTCTCCCACTTTCCCAAAGGTAATCACTCTCCAGACATCCATAGGTTAGTTTTGCCTTCTTTTTAATCTTTAATTTTAAGACTTTCGTAATCGAGATATAACTTACATAGAGTGGAATTTACCCTTTATAGTGTACCATTCTAGCAGTTTTGGTAACCGCATAGAGTTACACAAGCACAATCTCAATCAAGACACAGAGTGAGTTCCATCACCCCCCAATTCCTTTGTGTCCTGCATTAGTCCATTTCTGTTGCTTATAACAGAAACACCTGGAACTGAGTGATTTGTAACTAAACAAATTGTACTGCTTACAGTTGCAGAGGCTGGGATGTCCAAAGTCCAGGGAACACATCTGGTGAGGGTTTTCTTTGGTGGTGGCTCTACAGTAATGCAGGGGTCTCACATTGTGGAAAACGGTGAAGCAGAGACAAAGACTCTCATATGCCCTCCTTTTAAAGCCCTCAGAACCACACCCATGACCACCATTATTAATCCATTCACTACAGCATGGTCCTTACAATCTAATCACCTCTTCAAGCCCCCACCTTTCAATTATCATAATAGGATTTCCCACCCTCTTAACAGTTACAGTGGGGATTAGGCTCCAATGACTTTGGGAGCCATTCAATCCACTGTATGTCCTTTGTAGTCAACCCCTCCTTCCACCCCAAGATCTTGGAAATCCCTGATTTGTTTTCTTTCCGTACAATTTTACCTATTCCAGAATTTCATGTAAATTGAATGATCCAATATTTTGTTGTGGGGGTGGGAGTCTGACTTCTTTCACTCAATTTAATGTTTGTGAGATTCGTCCATGATGTTGTGTATAACAGTAATTCATTTTCATTGCTGTATGAATATACCATAATTTATTTGTATGAATTCACTAGCATACATTTATCCTCTGTGTGGTGGATGAACATTTGGATTGTTTCCATTTGGGGTATTTTACAAATAATGCTACTGGAAACATTTTTGCACCTGCCTGTTCATGCTCACACACATGCATTTCTTCAGGGCTTACTGATCCCAACGTCATGAAGATGTACGCCTATGATAGTTTCTAGAAGTTTCATCTTACCTTTCACATTTAGAGCAACAATTGACCTGGAATTCATAGTCGTGTGTGATGTCAAGTGGGGGGTCAAGTTTCTGTTTTCTTTTTCCCACGTGGATATCCAGTTGGCCCAGCACCATTGACTGAAAACAGCCCTTCCCTGTGCTCTGCAGCGCCGCCTCTGAAATAAACCGCCATACACCGGTAGTTTTGTTTTTGGACTCTGCATTATTGCATCGGTCTTTTTATCTTAATCCTCCCACTTTGTTCGTTATCAATATTTTTCTCGGCTATTCTCGACCCTCTACACTTCTACCTAATTTTTAGGCTCTCAGTACCTGACACGTGCCTGGTGCACAACAGGAACTCAACAAATAGCTGTTGCATGAATGGGGGTAACCTGGGGACCTCCCAGAAGTGACGGTAAAGCCGTTCTCACTCGCCAGGTCCCCGCACCCCAGGAGGCGCCCCCGCAAGCTGCAGGGAGGCGACCTCCCGCCGGCGCACGTCATCGTCCTCCCGCCCGCCGCCGCCGCCGCCGCTCCCCGCCCGGCCGGATGGGCGATGCCGCCTCCTCCTGC